TTCACCTGGGGTTGAACTGGTATCTTGTGATCTGACCTGTGGAGTGTTAACCACTACACTATGGACCCACAGGTCTTGCATAAACTATTATACTGCCTTGAACACACATCTTTGACTAATGTCTCTAGGCATGACTTTGGAGATGAATAAGATTATTCTTTTTGTCATTTACTTGCTTATAAAGTTCAATTTCAAAAATCATTGCCTGCAGTTCATCACTACAGTTCATCTTTTCAAATATTAAATATAAGACTTTTATTTAAATATTATAGTTAAATATATATATATATATATATATATATATAAATTAAATTGTATAAAAAATTATAAACAAACTTAATATTTCAATATATACTGTATATTTTTAATTATAATACTAATAAAATCTTGACATGTTAATTTTCATTCAAAAAAAAAACTAGTTATAAAAAATTATTACTATGAATACTGTAACAAATTGTTTTTTTAAAATCAAGTTTAGAAAGACTATATACAGAAAATAACGAGTTTTAACTTAATCACATTGTAAATCAAAAAATATAGTATGACATTTAAAATTTCTTATAAAAAAAACTTAAATAAATAATAATAATAAATAATAAATAAATAATAATATTATTATTATTATTTTACAGTTTTTTCAATCAATAATAAAATTTGTAACAAAAAGTTTTTTATAATTGTTTTAAATTGCTTTTTACTATTTGTAATTAGCAAATTTACTTAATTTCTATTAAAAGATATTATTGTTCAAAATATTATTAATTTTCGAAAATATCCAAAAAGTTATAAAAGAAGTCTAATCACTTTGCAATTATTAAACTACCATGTAATTTCTTTCTTAAGTATTGGTTCTTGTAATATTTCAAAGAATTATTTATTAGTAATCATATAATAAAAATTTCTAGTTGTGACTATATTGTAAATTAAATGATGCGTGATTTTAGTAAGACCATTAAATTTTTAATATTCTAAAAATAATTCTCTTAACTGTAAGATACTGATCATACCATAAAAATAGGATTAATTACTAAACAAACATCACCCATCCAATTTCAGAATCATTGGGCAGATTTTTTTATGAAAAGTATTGGAATTGTAACCCAACTGAATGTATTGGAGATGATCTAGGCCTTAAGTTTGCAATTAAGCCAAGGCCAAATAGTGCTCTTCCATAACGTCCTTCCCATAGTAATTTGATTCCCTAAAACAATGTTAAAAATTCGTAAGCAGATATTAATGCAATAAAAAAAGGAGTCAATCGAACCCACCTTTTCAGTGCTAATAGTAGCCTTAACAACACCTTGAATTTCACCATTAGAGTTTGAAGTTTCATCTGATTTTTCTCTTTGCCACCACTCTGCTCCAATCATCAAATCGCTCTCATAGCTATACATATTAAATCCAAATCGTGGACACAAAGACAGATCTTTCGATACTTGTGCAGCAAAGGCAGTAGACATGTAACCCATTATTGGATTAAATGTGTAGGTCACTGTGACTGGTGAGTGTGACGAATACTCCGGAAGTGTACGATAACGAATTCCTGCCGATACTGATATGGTGAATTGTACTCGTTACGTCATAAATATTATATCTGTAGATCGCTCTTGAAGTGGGAATGTCTTATCCTGATGATAGATACAAACCTCCACCGCTTCTTTCTCTCGCCCCGTAAAAAATTTCAGCACCAACAGACCATTCTCCTTTAAGCGCTTCCACTTCTTCGTTCTCCTCCGTCTCTGACAATCCATCATTAAGACTCTTTTCATTGACTTTCGACTTAACGGTATTATTCTCATGATGAACCTTAAGCTCCCGGGTCATTATTTTTGAATCATTACCATTATCTAGATTGTCATCTTCTGGATTATGTTTCACCAGATGATAAAGACCATTTACACCAAACAATTCACCTTCTTTTGTAAAAGAAAATTCTGTACACCATTTACCAGCGTCATACTGTAGTACGGCTATACACTAGATCAGGAAAATTGATTAAATGGTAATATTTTAAAAAATGAAAATTTAATTATATAAGGATAGGAGATTACTTGAGCAGTTTTTGTCCTAGGCTCGCTAACTCCTCTAATAACACACTGCATCATTGGGGAAAATTTTCTGGAATACATCGCTTCAAGTTTTCCAGTAGGTATATAGAGTCGTCCGTACAGTAGATAATCTAAACAAAAACATAATAAGTTCTACTGATCTCCAATAATAAAAAATCGCCACATTTGTAAAAAAAATGCCACCATCAATCGTTTGACTTTTTTCTTCAGCAGTTGGTCCTATCGGATTTTTAGTAGACATTAACTGTGGAGGGTTATTTATATGAAATCGATCAACGATTTCAACAAAATTTAAGTGAGAACTCGGTTCGACCATTAAAGGACGCGAAGTGTAAAGGTAACCAATGGAGCCATTGAGTGATGGTAAAGCATTCATTGTATAGGAGGATTTAAACACGGAAGTCTGAATCTTGGAGATTTCAAAGTTGAGACCACGTGGAGGATCAAAGTCCAAGATTGCTTATACAATGTCAAAGAGTTAGTATGCCTTCTAAACGAAAGATATTATTTGCGAAGACTAATAATAATATACCTTGAGATGCTGCACATAAGTTTGAGTACTGATTGTCTTCATTCCAGCCAGTTGTTTGGTGATATTGACGAAGACAGTAACTCATAAAATCGTGCATGTCTGCATTAGCTTTTCGTAAGAGACATAAAAAGGCGTGTGCTACTGCGGATTACGTTGTGATTAAATATGTCGTGCATTATCATGCATATACAATTCTTAGATGTTACCAGCCAATCAGGTGTCATATATGTAAAAGTAAAGACAAAATTTATGATCTAGTACTTGATATGATTTCACCCAAGCAAAAATCTTTTATTATACAAAGTCATTGGGTGAATATGGGAATAGCAAATATAAATATATAGACTTTTTTATTGATGCCATTATGCACTCCAATTCCATACAGTCGCACCCAATCCTCGTTCCGCAATCGAACCAATCAACTCATATGGTGCTTGTTTTATGTTGGTAAGTGATAAAGTAGGCTTATTACCTAACATCGTTGAAGATTGAGAGGGACCTGGTTTCGATCCCGTCCCCATAGCGCCGGGTGTTATCTTGCCAGCACCCGACTCATTAGAAGAATCTACGGCAATTGGATTAATCATAACATCCGAAGGCAAAGATGAAGACGCGGGCATCGGAGCTTTTTGTCCAGCCACCGCACCTGTCCTCTTAGGTGGTGGGCCTTTTGTGCCAACATCTGTAAATTTTTCGTCTATGACACGAAATCTTATGGGAAGGTCTTTATCCATGTACATGTAAAGATATTTGTCCTCTACAGTTTCCCAGTCTTCCTCAGGAGCTACATTATCCCATAATCTTACCCAAACTTGAGTTTCGTGATCACTCGTATTAGATAAATAAGAAAGAATTGTTATTTTTTTCAAGCATCGTTAATTAAAATTAAAATACAAATGTGGTAATGGTAAAGTTGCTTACAATTTCCACCTGTCATCTTGATTCGTTGGAATAAGTATATCATCAAAATAACCCAGCGTCACTTGATAATTTAGATTTTTAGCTTGGTGGTTAACAACAACAAAAAAAAAACACGTAAGACTCGACTAAACTAATATCATATAAATTAACCTTTAACACCTTCCGTTGTATTACTCGATACCATTCCCTCAAGTATTTCGCCAATGAATGGTCGAAACACAATTAAGCGAAAAGTGACTAAAGTACGAAGTCGAAAGTTGCACGAGTTTAGTGACAGGAGGTATCATCAATTATCACATGAAATAACAGTCAATTTGAATTACATGATAGCGTCAGTCACTTCTTCATAAATTTCTAGAATACCTTTTGCATAACTTGCACCGTTTCCATAATGAACTATTTCTTCACTTGCAGAAATAATGTCGTATAAGCAAATACAGAGGCCTACTTCTTGAATTACCTACATTTATGGTTAACGAATTCATTTATGGAACAAGAATCTAAAAAAAAGTTTGTTTTTTTCGTATTACTTTATTTGCATAAATTCGATTGATCTCATCGGTTAAAGCCTCGAACTTGGGTTTTTGAAAATTGTACGGTTGAATGTGAATGGTGTCTTTTAATACGGTTAGAATAAACATAACGAATGGAAAGTCTCGACGTTTAACGATCGACATTGTATTAACAATGCAATTTTTGTCACATGATTTTTTAAATTTTTTTTACTTTTTTAAAATCGAATTTCTTATTTTGGAGAGAAAAATAATGGTGCAAATTTCATGCATTCTATAAAAAAAATATAAAATATAAATTCATTCAATTCTCAGAAGATAGCTTTATTCAATGATTAATTGTAGAAATTCCACTTTGCAAGGGTTTCAGTATCCCTATACATAAGTCGATAAGGACGCGCGTATTAAAGAAAACCTTCAAAAATCTCAGATTAAATTTGAATTTGAATTAGAAAATAATTAAGACTTATCGTCCTCCACAAATGCCACCAAGGTCTTATTCTCTTCAACCAAATCTCCAACATTATAGAACAACTTTTCAATTGTTCCTGTGTATGGTGATTTAATTATATGCTATTTGATATTGAAATATAATGAAGTCGTCAATGGTAAAGTTAATTAGTAAAAGTTTTCCCTCTTAGTGACCGCAAGAAACAGGAAAATTTTGACTTACTTCCATTTTCATGGCTTCCAATATAACCAAGGGAGTTCCCTTTTCAACTGTTTGTCCAGGCTGCACTAGAACCTATAGCAGCAACACATTAATGTCAATATAGTAAACGATTGACGATCAATAATGTATTCAAAAAAAACATACCTGGGAGATTTTACAAGGCATCGGGGTTTTCACAGAATGCGCTGTATCCGATATTCCAGCACGAAGATATGTTGGTTCCGGGATATTCAACACCACTTTGTTATCCTACCAACGGTTTAAATAATTGTTTATATGAATCCCTTTAAAAATAAATTAAATTAAAACTCACTAGAACAGGATTCATCTAACCTGATCGAATAAAATGACTCTTTCATTCTTTTCAAGAATAACATGACTCTTATATCGTCTATCTCCGATATCGGCTACTATCAATTTTTGTACAGCATCCCATTTGCATGACACATTCTCAAACCTAATCGCGCCGTTTCCATCGGCCGAGCGATTTACGGTAACATTATATAGGTTCTCTGGAAGGAATTCGACCTCAACGTTTATATCATTATCGTTTTGGTCGTGAAATAGTAGAGTACGAATGTGCGTGGTGTTTAATCGAAAGTATGGATTAGAAGCCCATGGATCTAGAGAAAAACGAAAAGGTGTATTAGATGGACGTCAAAATGGGAAACTAAATACGGAGACATACCGCGCAAATTGTCTTGAGGCGAAGTTTTATGTTCGCTTAATATAAGTGACAAAGCAGCTTGAATTATAGCTTGTGGGTTTTCTAATTTCGTTACGAATAATTCCTCCTTATATTTCTATAATTTAAACCACAGTTGTCACGCCATCAATAACATTGAAATATAATAAGGTATTAATATAAAATGGAAGCCTACGTCTATAAATCCCGTTTCAACTTCTCCCTGAATAAAAGCAGGGTGCGAAATAACGTTTTTCAAAAATTCGATATTTGTATTCAAACCTACAATCTTCAGGAAAAAACCATTTCATTAGCAATCACGAAAGTTCCCTTATTAAGAACACATAACTATGATCAGGTCGATATTACTTCATATTCGTCCAAAGCCTTTCTCAATATTCTTAGCGCTTCAGTGCGATCTCGACCTTTGGTCACTAATTTTGCAATCATTGGGTCATAATATACACTAATCTCGTCTCCTTGCTCGACGCCTGTTTCCAATCGAACGTTTTGCGATAATTGAGGTGTGCGAATGTGGAGCAATGGTCCGATGTCGGGAAGGAAATTACTTTATAATATATATATATATATAACTCAACCTTATCGATAAAAATCATAAGAGCTTAATTTTCCTTTACATACTTTGATGGGTTCTCTGCATAGATACGAGCCTCAAATGCGTGTCCATCGAGATTCAAATCTTCCTGCCGTACAGGTAGGGGGTTTCCTGATGCCACCTAATGTGAATTTATGCTTAATATTGATTCAGATAATGCAAGTCCAGTGTCACCATGTAAAGTTTTACCTCGATCTGCCAATGAACTAGATCTGTGGAAGTCACCATCTCAGTTACAGGATGTTCAACTTGCAATCGTGTGTTCATTTCCATAAAATAAAATCTTTTATCATTATTGTCCATGATGAATTCCACCGTGCCGGCTCCCACGTAATTCACGGCCCTCGCCGCCGCAACGGCTTTTTCTCCAAGTTCCTGTCGTATTTCACGAGTTATGCCTGGGGCCGGGGCCTCCTCCAGGATTTTCTGATGCCGTCTCTGAACGGAACAATCTCGTTCAAATAGATACACCACGTTTCCCAGTGTATCGGCGAACACTTGTACCTCAATATGTCGAGGTGTTAATAGATATTTTTCAATGAGAACTTGATCGTCTCCGAACGATTTTATGGCTTCTCGTTTGGATGATTCGAGTTGAATATCAAATTCGGAGGGGTCACTGACTATCCGCATTCCTTTGCCACCACCCCCTTTGATGGCTTTTATCAAGACTGGGTACCCAATCTCCAAGGCTTTCGTTTTTAAGAATTGAGGATCCTGGTTTGTACCGTGATATCCGGGAACCACTGGAACGTTGGCATTTATCATGATATCTTTCGACTCACTGAGCAAAGGTCATACGAATTTGGTCAGTCGTCTTGTAACAAATTTCCTGATTCAAGGTCACATACCTTTTTGATCCCATAGAGATCATCGCCGAGGCAGGGGGACCAATGAAAATGATCCCCTCCTTAGCAAGGCGTTCAGCGAAATTTGCGTTTTCCGACAAAAACCCGTATCCCGGATGAATTGCCTAGACGGATCGTAAAACGAAAAGAGAAGAAAATCTGTTGGTAGAATTTTTCAGGTGAACAGGATAAAACAATAATTTTACATTTTATGTGTGTTTATTTCAGGGCGGCGTTTAACACCTGTGCACCGCTATTCTTAGCCACCGAGATAATTTTATCGATGTTCAAATAACTTTCGGAAGACGGTGCCGGGCCTATAAGATGAGATTCGTCCGCCTGTTTTGATGTAGATGGAAAATTAAAAAAGATTTCCAAGATTTCCATGAAATCTTCCTATGCAAGTGAAAGATATTTACCATTTTGACATGTAGAGAATGTTTATCGGCTTCACTATAAACCGCAACCGCCTTTATTCCAAGTTTTTTGGCGGTACGCATTACGCGACAAGCAATCTCACCGCTGAAAGAGAGTAAATTCGTTAGAACAGAACTAGAATTCTTACCAAGGAAAGCAAAAACAGTACCGATTTGCAATTAAGATTTTGTCAAATAATGGCTTTCGCGCTTTTAGTGAAGAGAAAGAAAAAATTTAGTTCTCCTTTCAATCTCCTTGACAAAAGATGCTAAGAATCCTACTTGGACTATCGGTCAATGAATAAAACCGGGGATTAAATCCATTCCGCGAAATGTTGATTCCATTTAATAATGAACCACATCTAATTGTGGAAAAAACACTCTGAATTTTCGAAGGATACATAAAGCGATACATCTTGGTGTATGGGAAGGAGAAGACTGATGTGCCAATTAAATATTATACAACCACACACGTGACTCATATCGGTACATTTAATAACATAACTGTATGGGTTGCCCCTCACAAAAAATAAAGTGACAATAATGACTTCGTTTTACGATGAGATTGAGATTGGTGAGCAACATCTAGAAAATTCCACATTTATTAATTCATTATCTTGATATTTACGCTTCTGTGATTTTTCAGAGGACTTTGAATTCGACGAAGAAACGAAAACATATCATTATCCATGTCCGTGTGGTGACCGGTTTGAAATCACAATGGTTTGTCTCCAGGTTTTTATTCTAAATTTTTTTTTCTCGCGTGAAGGTAATACAATTTTATTGTTTTTATTATAGTCCGATTTAATGGATGGCGAAGACATAGCTCGGTGTCCAAGCTGCTCCCTAATGGTCCGTGTAATATATGATCCGGTACATCTAATTTAATTCACATAATATTTTTTTTTCGAGAAAAAAAAAAAAAGTTTTTTTAAGAATTTTATCATTTCTCTTTTTTACGTCAGGAGGATTTTCAGGACGGGGACCATGAAACAACTATTGATCTCGGGAGGGAAGCAATCTCCGTGTGATCTACCGTTCCCTGTTAATGTATAATATCTTTAAATTATTGATCACTTATTATTTTGAGAACACATAATGATGAATATGATTGAAGAGGAAAGAGCGCACGCCATCGATTTAAACACCCCAAAAACACATAGTGGAAAGTTTATTATATAGAATTGTCAATTCACATATGAATTGTCGTGCGTCATAGGAGACGTACTCTATAGAATAAATGTTTGGTTAATTGGTGGGTGAGACTTGTGTGTACAACGATTCTTTCGATGTGCATCCGAATTTTTCGTATATGTACGAGAAGAATTCTTTTGAACATATATTTTTTCGGAGTGGGAAAGATGTGGATTTCCGAATATAGCAGAAAAAAGAACTTGACTAGAAACCAAATAAAGACAGAAATTTTTCGATTCTCAAGACATCACCTGCATGTCCCTGAACCATACATGTAAAATTATACGATTTACGCTATTATACTAAAACTTGAACGTTTCCATTCTGAAGCATGCCAAGATTAAAAATCTGCTAAGAATGTTATTTGAAAGAATCTAAAATCGTAATTCCGAAACTCAAAATCTATAGTAATGACATTAATGAAAATCCGTTATATCCATATCATTCATTCCCTTCAAAATTTGGTGAAACTGTGTATCATTATTCTGTAAAGACGACCTGCCATTATTCACTATTGTTTCGTTAATATCGACACCCATTGACATTGAATGTCCTACGTCATCAGCATCATTACTAGTATCACCATCAGGTACATCAACATCATGAACGTCTTGACACTTTCCAGTCCCATTGGCCATTATCTCATATAGAGATTTTTGATGAAAATTTTGATAATAAAGACCGGTATCCAGTGGATTAGTAATAATCAAATCTTTAAACATGTCCGCACCATCCTCCGAGTCAAAATTTACGAATCCTGATGGATGTGCGAGATACGTATTGTTATTGCGTAAAAGGTTTTCATCGACCGTGTTCACAGCATTAGGCTGGAATGAATTTTCGTTACAGTAGTTATTGAGAATGGTGAGCTGATTTGGAAAAGAAGATGATAGACATGTAGAATATGTTGGAGTTGAGGCACCGGATGATAACGGGGACGGACTACCTGGTGAAAATGATGTTGAAGGTTGAGTAGGATGATTGATCGAATAATCATATTGATCGTGATAACCGTATCGATGAGGTAATTGTGACAACGGTGATTGATGATAATGTTGTATGTTACTTCCATGATAGAAATAACCATACTCGCTTGGATCATGAGAATTGCTAAGAGAAGGGTGCACGAATTCTTTTTGATAATGACTTTCTGTTAAAACTAATGGAGTTATTGGTGTCATCGGGCTTGGGATAGGGCGTATGGTGGGCCTTGGACCTGGACTCACGTTCGGAGAAGATGTAAGCTCCAATTGACTGGCGTTTAAGCTATAAAGATGCATTTTCGAAGGCTTGGAAGAACCGGAAACGGTATTCATAAGGTGAAGAGGACTTTGCGAATTCATTTGACGCTCTGCAGGCGTATATTGAAATTGTTGATAGTTCATTTTACTTGATTATATATTCTTTGAAATATTGTATCGTATGTTCTTTCCTTGGCGAAGACAAGAAGGGTTTTTGTTGTATGCTAGCTGGAATTAGGTAAAAAAATGATAGAACGGCACAACTTTTAGATAAATTTAAATATTTTTGTTTATTGTTCGAAGAAAATCGGTTACCTGTTTTTGCGTAGCGTGCGACCACAGAAAAAGACTTTGGCAAAAAGGTCAAGTTTAAAAATGAGAAAATTGTAACAGGGTGATTGGTTTAAATAGGTTTTAATCACTCCCACACATATAATGCAAAAAAAAAAAAAATTTTTCTAATTTTTATACATTAAAAGCATTGAATATATATTAACCAGTTAAATATGCTAAGTATAAATTTTATTTATTTCCCGCCCTTTAATAATTATTAAACAGTTACGTAACAGATGCGAAGAAGAGGGACTGTGCAAATCATATGATCCCAATAGGAAGACATACTTGTGTCATACAGTAGGAAAAAAATGTGGAGTATGATATCATAAATAAAAAAAAATTTTTCTTGTATCTTTCATCTTTTATTTTTTTTTAATCAGAGTGTGGGGTTTAAGTAGATAGGCGATCACACGAGAGCGACATATAAGGAAGTGGATTGGAAAATGCGTGCAGTGTTTACACAATTTACCGAAATTGTTACCGGATATACGTTAATGTGTATGTCGAAAATCTTGATTAGTCTTCGGCGTACCGCGCATTTATTCTTTAGTCCAACGAATTAATGAGGATCGTTACACGGACCTCCGCTCAACCGTGATACTACGTTCAATTTAATCTTTTTTATCTTTCAGGTTACTCTTTTTATGACACGGGATTCCTAATTTGACAAAATATTCTTCCTTTAATCTACATATTGTGTAAGAGAAGAATGTTGGAAAGTGATGCCATTTTAAAGCGGATTCGAGCACTAAGGTCGAGTACAAATTGGGATTTGTTACTTTCTCCCCGCACGTATACAAGTACACTCATATGACTAAAGACATGCATTGCAGATTTGGCTTTTTTTTTTGCCAAATAAATCCTTTCCTAGAGATATCCTTCCTCAGATCTATGCTACAGTCCATAGATCGTCAGTAATTATGACCTCACTTTTAAGTGAAAAAAAAAGAATCTGAAATTGTACCCCTTGTAATCACATTTGTTGATCCTTTTCACACTCATTGCCCCTTAATTTAAATGTCACCATACAAATTTTCCGCGTAATGCTAGGACAGACGCGAAATATATTGCATCATGCTGACGGTGATATATGTTCCCATATCACGAGGAGAATTGCTTATGTGAATTTGCGCCTCCATTCTTTTTTGCACGTCGCGTCCCTGTTTACGTCACAATCCTGCAATTATGACTTATGACGCACGCTATTGATCGTTTATCATCAAGTTTGCTTTTAAACAAAATCGCCCGTTTATTTCTAATTTGTTTCTAATTACGTAAATTCAATCAATTATATGTTTTTGGAAAAAATATTGTTATGGGAATATAGAAAGAACTGTAATATACTGTACACAATTATTCATTTAACTAAAATGATTATTTGCTTAAGGTGAGACCAAAAAATGATTATCTTTTAAAAACGTAATTCTAAATGAAACTAATTAAAAAAAATAAAAAAGTAAAAAAAATATATATTGTATAATAGGTTTTAATCTTATTTTAATAAGAAATGTTTTCACCATTTTGTTTTATTTAAGTTTATTTTTGATTAAAAAATATATATACGTATAAATATTTATTTTTAGTATTTTAGAATAATACAATTATAAAACGATACTTCTTTTTCAGATATCAAGTGTTGAATTAAATACGAATTGTAAAAATAATTTTTATATTTTTAATTCAAACCATTAAAACATATTATTAAAAATATATATTAAATAATCTTCAATAATTCAAGCTTATTTCAAAGTAATTATATAATAATTTTTTTTTATAACTCTTAATAATAATCATTAAAAGTTACAAAAAGTATAAAATTATTTCTCTATAATATCCAAGTATCTTTTCTTGTGAATTATTAAAAAGATTCTATTTTAATTCAGTAATAGATTACTTCAATAATTACTTATTCTAAAAAGATAAGCAAAACAGTAGTAAATATTGATAGTTAAAATAATCTATAGATAATAAATTTATGAGATAAGTTTTTTAAATATTCTTAAATAATTCTAAAAAAGTAAAAATTAAATAATATATTCATCTGTAAATAATATAAATTTAAAATTTTTCTTTTATAAAGTTTTATTTGTTATATATAAGTATTATTCTTAGTTTCTTTATTTTACCTTTTTTAAAAAATATTATATAGTTTCAAAAATAAAACTAAGAAAATATATTATAACAATATAAATAGTATCTTATACATTAATTTTAATTAATATTTTATAAAAATAAGATTAATATTAAAGTTCTAAATCAATATTAAAATAATATTGAAATTATATTAACTTATAATAAATTTAATATATAAGTTGTAAATCACTTTTTTATTTATTTTAACTTTATTAAAAAATCTTTTTTTAGAAAAATTTTTTATATTTTCTTTCTTTTTCTTTTTTATTAAAAGATAAAATCTTATAGTAGCAACAAGTTTAAGATATGTTAATACTAGACTCTTTTAATCAAAAAAAAATATTTTAAAAAAGCTATATATAGTTAATACTATATATATAATAAAATTGAATTTAAATATTTTTCAAAATCATATTATTATTAAAAATATAATAAATTATTGTTTTTTTTTTTTGAAAAAAAATCTTGTTTTATTTATTATATATTCCTTAAAAATTTTTTTTTAGAAAGTTTTTTTTTTTTAAGAGAAAACTTTTGTTAAAAACTTATAAATATATTATCAGGAAAATTTTTGAAGTAAAAAAATTTGAAATTCTTTAAAATTAAAATATTTTGATTTGTTTCAAGCATTTACAAAAAATTAAATTGATTTGTCCTTTTTGAGTACTTAATAAAAAATATGCAAAACAAAATTTTACTATAAGTTATTTAATATAAAAAAATTTTGAAGTATTTTAAAAACCTGAAATACTTAAATTTATAAAATTATAAGATACTTTAAAGTTTTGTTATTTTAAGTAATTTATAGTAAGATTTTGTTTCATACATTTTTTATTAAGTACTTAATAATAATAAATCAATCCAATTTTTTAAAATTTCATGAAACTAATTAGCATGAATTTAAAATTTTATATATCATACATACATATATAATTTTTTATTAAGAAAATTTTTTTTAAAAAAATTTTAGAGATCTTTAAAAACCTCTAAAAACCTTTAAAAACTTTTAAAAATCTTCAAAATTTTATTTTGAAATAGATATTATATAATATAAAATGTTTTAATTAATTTCAAGTATTTTATAAAAAATTAAATTAATTTATTTTTTTCAAGTACTTAATAAAACATATGCAGAACAAAATTTTACTACAAGTTATTTATAACAAAAAAGCTCTAGAATATCCTAAAAACCTGTAATTCTTAAATTTGTAATATTTAAAATCTATTTTAAAAACTGTTATTAATTTCAAAATTTCAAAATTTTAAAATACTTTAAAGTTTTTTTATCTTAAATAACTTATAATTGAATTTTGTTTCACATATTTTTTATTAAACACTTGGAAAAAATAAATCAATACAATCTTTTATAAAATATATAAAACTAAACAAAACATTTTTAAATCTTAATATTCTTATATATTTATATAATTTTTTGAATATTACTTTGAAATATTTTGAAAAATAAAAATAAAATCTTTAAAATTTTTTATAAATATTTAAAACTTGAAACTTATTTAAGCTTTTATTAAATTT